GCTAGTTCCGTTTGAAGTACGGTTGCGTGTGACTCCAGTCCTATGGTTCTCCTAGTTGAAGGCCCACCAGACCAAATCCCCGCTGCCGCTCGGTCACCTATCCTGGAGCCATCCGTGTACCAGTCCAGGCCCTTAGGCGGTGACCACTCCGCATCTTCCCCTCACAGAGTTTCCTCATAATCGAGGTTGACCTTAAATGGTTTATGGAAGTGCTACTACGGTCTGCATGCACCTCCCTCCCCCCTGCCTTGGACGGACAGAATCCCTCTCAGTTCTACGTCCGCAGCAAGGATGGCGGTATGACCACTCTTAGCTCCTTTCCATGTATCTTGAAACCCCATCCTCGCAGCCGTCATCTGCGCCCCCGCTTTTATATTAAAATGAGGTGGCTGAACAAAGAGCGGAGCTTTCAGCGCCGATGCAGGGATCGTCCTGAGGACTCCTGTTATAGCCAGCTGCACCAGTCTACCCGTTCTGTCCACTGCTCTCCTATGACAGGTCTTGTTCATAGCCGTCCACCGGACAACAGCGGCGTATGTTAGCTGTGGGATCATTATGGCTGTGTACATCAATATCACTATGCTCGGCTTTAGACCCTACGTCTTACCAAACATTCTCCTACATGTCCAATAGGTCATGATAACCTTATCGGTCTGCATGGTGATATGCTTCTTCCAGTTGAATTTCTTATCGAGCCATATGCCCAGATATTTAACCTCTGACGACATGTCCAGTACCGTGGCGTATATGGAAGAAGGTTTTACGACGATCCTCCTTTTGTTTGTAAATAGCACCAGCTCGGTTTTGCCCGGGTCAATATATATATATATATATGGGGCATTCCATGTCACCTCGTGAGGTTTTAACCGTCATGGATTTTCAATTGTTTGCAAATTCATCCATCCACGCACCACGTAAATATAACACCGCGTATTTTTCATTTTTATTTTTAATGACCCGTTTTGCCTCAATTCGATTGGAAAAAGACGCGACATTAGAAATTGAAAATAAAAATATATATATATATCCTTGCAATGAATTGAACTATTTTCAATTAACAATTGAAGAAAAATTTTCTCACATATAAACAAAATTCTTTTTATGAGCTGAGTTTGCGGTGAAAAAGGGTGACACTTTTTATTATACCGGGATAAGGTTGACCATTGGTTTATTTCAAAACGGCCAGTGGTCAACTTTGAGATGAACATTGGTCAATTTCCAAATGACCACTGGTCAATTTTCAGATGACCACTGGTCGATTTTCAGATAACCACCGGTCAATTGTGAGATGATCGAGAGATTTATGTTTTTTTAATTTTTTTTAAATTTAAATATAAATTATAAATTACATATTATATATGGAGATATTACATATATATATATATAATAATATAAATTTAAATAAATTTGAAAAATATTATTATAAAAAAATTTTATAATAATATTTTTTTTTTAATATAAAAAAATATATATATATTATAAAAATAATTTTACATTTAAAATATTTAAAAAATGATAAAAAAAATATATTTTCATAAGCTAAGCTATGCGGCGAAAAACGGTGACAGTTTTCGTTACACCCGAATTTTTTTAGAAGGGATTATACGGTTATATATATGGTATAATGAAGAGAATACATCGAACCGCGCGCGGGACCGAAATGAATGTACTTTTAACGAACCAATTAGGAATCGTATCTTCACTATTTCGAGGTTTTCGATACAATCGATTGTGTAAAGCGTGTCCCTTTCGAAATAGGCCGGGGAAAAGCAGCAAAAAAAATCGACAAAACGTGGCGACTTGGGCCCAAAAAACGGCTACCTCGACTTAGTTGAGCTATGATTTCTCGGAAAGTAATGAAGTGAGCGTTCTGAAATCAATTGCATTCGATTCCTGAGGAAATTTGGGGCCTGTCTAGGCTTTTAGGATGGTCGGAAGGTCAATTTTCATAATCATTTTTACAGGCCCGGGAGAAATAACAAAATAAATCGAAATAACGGGCATATAGGCCCAATAAGCGGACATCTTGACTTTGAGCTGTGATTTCTCGGAAACTAATGAAGTGAGCGTTCTGAAATCGACTGCATTCAATCCCTCCAGAAAGTTGGGGCCTGTCTAGGCTTTTAGAATGGTCGGAAAGTCAATTTTATAATTCATTCTACAGGCCGGGGAAAAGTAACAGAAAAAATTGACAAAACGGCTACTTAGGGCGAATACGCGGATATCTTGACTTTGTTCTGTGATTTCTCAGAAACTAATGAAGTGAGCATTCTGAAATCGATTGCAATCCATTCCTGAAGAAATTTGGGGCCTGTGTCGGTTTTTAGAATGACCAGAAAGTCAACTCTAGAATTCACGAGACCGAAATGAACGAATGTCTACGAATGCTGTATTTAAAATTAATGATAATTTCGCGCCACTTTTAACAAACCAATTAGGAATCGTGCCTTCACTATTTCGAGATATTCGATACAATCGATTGTGCGAAGCGTGTCCCTTTTAGAATAGGATAATTGATAAGGATAACAAAAACATTTACCTGCAATAAGGCGAATCTCAGCCTTCTGAATTATTCGGATGTTGGGTTGATTGACATAGTTTACGTATAATATATTTTGGGTGGGTCATTCCCACAACTCATCTGCAATTCTTGCAGTCATCCCGGAAAACTTCGAGATTTTGAGAAGTTTCTTGATGTAGTCTTCGGAGAGCAAATATCTGCTGAGTTTCGGAGCGATCTGCAAGCATTGTAATGTCATTAGATTTTCACATTTCTCAATTTTCATTGGAAAATACGAAGTTTGAGGACCATGTCTGTAGGTGTCACCCCCCATTCGGCCCTTTTGCAGAATCAACTTTTAGAAAATCGAACAATAAATTGACTAAAAAAATTCCAAAAAAATGGAAATTTTCACAGATTATAGGTCTTATGAAGGACTAACTCTGTGCCCAAGAACAGCTCGATCGGTCGACTAGTTTTTGAGATGAAGCGATTTCTTCTTTAGCGTTTTTTCACAAATATCTCAAAAATGAGTCGACCGATTTAACCTTTTTTTTTGCAAAATATTCGTCTCGCCCTACCTAGGCCCCCTATCTAGATCGGTCAAAAGCTATATACCCGTTCCTGCAAAGTTTTCGACATATTTGTGTGAAACTTCTCCCGATCGCTGCTACTCAGGGAAACCAGAGGGAAAATATTTGATTAATTTTGAAGTTCAAGTGGTATTCGACACATTAGTTTTTTAATTCGGATCTGGCCAAGCAGAGTGCAGTTTCCACTTACATGATCACTTATCCTTACAATATTTGACACTTCTTTGGTTATAAAAACAATTGATAAGCTAGTGTGGAATTATCACAAATTGTCCAATATTGTTAAAAATTGTCAAAAATTGTCAGTAGTAATACCACGAGACCTCCTAAATTATCGGATATTTCCCAATTGTTTTGTTGCGTAGCAACGAGAGGGATAATTTTTGCCTATTAAAAAGGATTTTAGGGCAAAAATTATCCCGATCGTTGCTGCGCATGAAAACAAGAGGGAAATATCCGATAATTTTGGAGGTCGAGTGGTATTCGGCGGATTATTTTTGGCGATCGGATTTTGTGAAACGAGGGTAATGCTTGATTTTGTTGTTTTGATTTTCTCCATAACTTTTTTTGACTCCACAGAGTAATATTTGACAGTTATTTGGTTAAAGAAACAATTGCAAAGCTAGCAGGGTATTACCGCTGAAATTTTATTAGGGAGGTACTTCATGTTATTGAATACTGAAATCCAATTGGCTCTGGGGAGAACAAAATCCGATCGTCAAAAATAATCAGTATCATTCTCTTGCTCACGTTCAAATACTGCGCTCTGATTGGCCAGAATCCGAAGAAAAAAAAATCCTCCGAATACCCCTCGACGAAGTTTACCTGCATAGCAACGATCGGAATCAGTTTTGCAGTAAAATCCCTGGCGCTTCGCGCTCGGGATTTCAATCTGCTAAATTGATCCCTCTCTGATAATTTTTTGATAATTTTGTCTGTTTAATCTATAGATGGAAAACAAAAGATTCTTCAGTGGAATTAATCACCGTCGAAACTGAGAGTTCATTGCAGTCTCATGGAACAATCCTGTTGACGGGAATTGGGATTGAGAAAAAAAATCTCCCGAATACCACGCGAGCTCCAAAATTACCGGATATTTCCCGACAGGTTCGTTGCAGGCAAATGAAGTCGTCAAGTTATCAGGAAAAATTTTTTGGCCTGACAAACTTGACTCCTTCATTTGCCTGCAACGAACCTGTCGGGAAATATCCGATAATTTTGGAGCTCTTGTGGTATTATAAGTGACTATTATATTCAGTATTATTCTGAGCATTATGTTGAGTGAGTGCAGAAGTTAGTGTCCCCTCGCGCTCATTGAAGAACACCTCCTCGATTGTAATCGTGACTATTACATTACATTCAACTTTGCCTCTCCCGATTGCAAAATCTCCCCCAGCGCAGCGCTGCATGTAATCATGAAGCCTAGTTTCTCAGTAAACGAACGAAGCGTAATAGCTATAGTTATATGCACGTGCAAGATACAAATTCTCTTTTCCTTAGGGTTTTGGATTGTGCGTATTATCAATATTCTCATACGCATAGTGATCAGAAACTTTTTTAGCTTTCTTGACTGATCATAAATCGTCTCTCCGACCTTACTTCTGTGATGTAGAATGTAGAAAGAAACACCTCGACGAAATCGAAGATACGGTAAAACCCTCCGTAAGTGTTCCTCAGCGTAAGCGCTCCGTGTTTTAGCACCACATCCCACTTCGTTGGTGCCATAAGCGGAGCATTAGTGTTGCGTACACAAGTGCTCATTCTGAAAATTTTCTTACCCAGAGCGGAGCACTCATAGAGGGTTTATTGTAACAATTTTTATCGACTGCCGATTTGACGGGGAACCATTTACAATCGACTCATTCAGCGACTCAAGCATTTACTCAGTCGCCCACCCATTAGCTCATTCACGAAATCAATCTTACCAAAGATGAATTGTTCTCAGTTGCTGTGTTTCCTAACCGTTCTGCAATGTTCTGGAGTACCGCCATCATCTGTGTCTTTGTCGGGCTTGTTGCTGTCTTTTTTGCAGGAGGTGGCTGAAAAACAATAGTGTGTGACATCCATCAGAAAATTGCCACCGGGGCAGCTACACCTTTTACGAGCTTATCAATGAACATCCCGGCCAAATTTAACTCTACTGCGACACCTCAACCCAAGCATTTTGAAATCTGACAATTCTATCGAGAGCGCATCACCACCCGTTGGTTCTAGATCTTAGCGTCCCCACCGCGCAACCAGCCAATCAGCGGGTGACTCAACCGAATAGTGTCTCGTTACCTTTCGAAAAGTCAATCCATAAACAAATTTTACTGCACAACTCTATCGTACTTTTCAAAAGGTACAATTGTCTCGGGCAAGACACTATTCGGTTCAGTCGCCCTTTGAGTGGTTGGTTGCGCGGTGGGGATGCAAAGATCTAGAACTGCTAGGTGGGAAAAATGTTTGGAAGTTCCAGTCCTCGCGGTAGAGGTGCATTTCCTGAAGGTGTTCATTGGTACGCTCGTGAAGGGTCTAGCTGTTCCGGTGCCATTACCAAGTACTATGTCTGCGTCAAGTTTCGAAACTGAACCGGTCAAGGCGTTTTCGAAGAATGGGCAATCGTTTATAAATGGTTTTTTTGCAAATATATCGAAATTTATTCAACAGATGGCTGAAGGCCCTCGGGCGATGGCCAGTCACAATCTTTTTGTTACAAAATCCGTTAAAAATCAATTAATAATATTCAACAGATTCCAATGTTTCACTTGTATTTTGTTTTACAAAGTTTTCTAGATATAACATTTCTTCGGATTTTTTTCTAAAAAATTCAATCAGTAATCTAGCATCCCGTATAGAAAAAGGAATAATCCATAAGTTATAAATGAAATATAGTGTTTTTTGCCGGAATCAAATCCAAAATATGTGAAACTTGTATTCTAAACAGATAAAAAATGTGACCGATCAGATATATCTGCACACTTACACCCAAAATACTTCTCGGATGATGTATTTTTTTGCCGCAATATACGTGCCATATATCTTTATATAATTGGCATATATCTCAGGATGTATACTTTTTCAATGCGCGATTTCGGGAAATTGCTGTATCAATTGGAAGTTGGGCATCAATTTTGTATTGGCAATTAAATGCTTGGAATGGAAAATGTGGACAATTTTTTACTTTCTTCTTTGAGAATGTTCGTTGATCTCATCTTCCCAGAAAAAAAAATCAGTAACAAAATACAGTTATATAGGAATCAGTCCTATTGAAATAAATGGTGTTGGCAGCCAAGAGGACTCCCTGACGCATGCGCATTGCGCGTATGCGAAACTAAACGTATACAGTACCATGAAAGGTACAGCTTTGGTGGCGGGCCACCAATCGAAAGAACCGGGTTTTTATATCCCTATAGATTCAAACTTATAGTTTGACTATGGAAAATATTCTGAAAAACTCACTGTTTTTTTGGGATGTTTTTTGCGAAAAATGTTTTCCTCCTCTTCGTCTGACAAGTCGTAGACGTCTTTGCTCGCTTTCGCTGGCTGTTTTCCTGGTTTCGCAAGCACCTATTTCGCAGGAAGATTATATAACTCTCATGAATGATTATAGATCTCTTATGAGTTGTCTGCTATGATTAGAGTTATTGAATTCTTCATTATATCCGTACAATTGTAGCGACACCAAGGTGACCCCCCCCCCCATATCAAGTGCTTCCACCAAGTGGACTTGTAACAATTGTTCACATCAATCGTGTACATGGCTTGGAAAAACATTGCTACGGACATCCTACTTCACTTGAAGATAATTTGACAACCGTCATGATCGTTATAACTTTCTCAGTCTGCGTATAAATAATGGATAGTTGTTCTCTACAAGTTGTTCTCTACTTCGGCCATGTGTATTCTGTTTTGGGGAGTCAAGTGATTTGAATGATTGAGTCCAATAACTCTCAAGTGCTCGCGCTATGGTCACCGCATTGCCGTTGTTGTAGGTTTCATGATACCTCTAAAAATATGATGAATTACGATTCGCCTATTTACGACTTCCGCGAAGAATATGTTTTGATGCGAGTGTACTCGCCTAGGTTGCCCTCAACTGACAATTTTTAAAAAAGGATTTTTCTTTTTAATCAATTTCTTTTGGAACACAGCAGGTGAAAATGAATCAGCGACAACTTTCGTAATACAAATTTGACGAGCGGCGTTGCCAACTCTCGTGATAATCTCTAACAGCGTGTGGAGAGCATTTTCTGGCAACGTGACACTCGAGGAAAAACGAGCGGCGCGGCGCTCGCCATGCGACAAACGATGTTCGGCAAAGAAGTGCGAGCACTTGAGGATTAAGAACAAACTAGAAAAAAAATGGGCCGAAAAGGTAGAACACGTACGATAAGTTATTCCATTTTTTATTCTACAAGGAATTCAAGAACTTTAATCCACGTAGCAGCCAACCTACGTCTGATAGGTACGAAGTTTTGTAACATTATGATGGTAAATTCAAGATAAGACTGGGCGTGAAAGTGGTTGTTTTTTGGGTACGACGTGCGTAAAGTACAGAGGTGTGCTCTTTTTTCCAAATTTCATTTAATTTTGGTTTCTACTTCCGATTTCGTAAAAATTCTGCTGGTGAGTGTATTGAAATTTTAGATAGTACGAACAAAAAAAAAACCGTATCTGTCACAATATCTTTGGACTGACAATTTTGATTAATTTTTGAAAATTGAACGAGAAATAATGTTCCCTGGAAAATAAAAGATCGCCTTGATAATTTTTTTTCATTGTACGCTATCGGAATTTTGGCCATGCAGCACAAGAATTTTGTAGGGGCTAGCGGATTGAACTCACCTTACCGGATAGCACGGGAATCGTTGTGTGAATTTGTCCAGGACAATTCGGTTTTTTTTTCGCTTCGTGTGCCAGGGGCTTTTGTAAAAACATAATCATAGATATTTCATTACTATTGAGCGCTTAATAGGACATACTTACCGAATGTAAATGTGCGGTCTTACTGCTTCCGGCTGGAATAGTCGATTCCGATTTGATATGGATTTTGTTCTGGAAGTAAATTCATAACATATACAAGGAGGAGGTTACAAACGGAGAATCAAGAGGGTCATCAGATCCACAATTATGATAAGAAGACGGTCAAAATTCACGAGAGCTACAGGGAATGGCTGAACTCCAGAAGGCAAAGAACTACTAATCATCCTTAACGTTTGTGGCACTTGACCATTCCCTGCGATTCTTGCGGAGAAGCCTTGCGATATCTGATCCCCGTGAAGTTTAGTTCTTGTGACATTTGATGAAACCGTTGTCACCTCCGAGCCCACCGTGAAATTTGACCATCTCTTCACAAAGATGGTCTTATGACCCGGTGAGGGGGCGGGAGAGTCTAAAGTGAGCAAAAATCGTGTAAAATATTATTTGAATGGTCCCCAAGTAATGCTGAAATGTAGGAGGTGAGGCGGATGTAAATCTATCGTATTCCTGCAGAAAACCAATCCCTGAGCATTGAAAACGTGTCCCAATCAATTAATACGCGCGTATCTCAATCCTCCTGCTGCTGAAGTATGTTTTTATGGCTTGTAAGAGTATTTTTCCCGGGTCAACACCCCGGGATAATCCTCAACCTATTCTGGCTGCCGCCTCTATCGTTCACGATTGGGCGCCAGCCAGGTTTTTCTGGAAAACCTGACGGAAAACCAGCCGCGAAGGAATTTCGTCAACTCCGCGGACTTTCGGTGACGGGTCTCACAAGGCCGAGCCAGCATCAGCATGACACGGTAGAGTGGGCGAGGTTCACCAACGTACGAGTAACTTCAATCACTAATTTCTGCCGTGCTCACGACATCGTTAACGATATCTCTCGGGGAGCGTATCTCTCCGACTCTCGTGGAGGGATCTGACCATCCCTCTCACGTGGTGCTTTCTCCTCTGGGGTGGCTCAACCCCAGACGAGACACAGATTACCTGCGAATCCTTCTCACCCCGCAGGGCGCCGAACTGCTCGAGGCACATGCGACGTAGGTATCCGGAGACCTTTCTCACCCACCTAACGTCCACCCCAACTCGAGAGCTCGGTAATAGCAACCTCATCGCGAGTCAACACTAGAGTTACTCCCCATGGAGGCGCGTGTGACCGGACCGACGGGAAACACCTTGAATCCCAGCCCTTAGTCC